TGGTCCAGATGATTCTTTATTTTCTTTGCAACCAAGCTCTTCGTATATTTATCATTCAATGTTGTGATTAGAATGAAATAACCGACTATCAATACTATTTTGCAACTCATTTTCATATTCGCACTTTAGAATCAATGTATTCAGTCTATTTCAATACTAAACACAGTCAATAATATACATTTCAACTTATATATGTCACTTTTTAAATTGATTTTTAGATTTTGTTTGTGTCGGTTTTTGATTTATTTGTATGTGATACATCATAATTTGCAACAATTTTTTCAGATTACTGATGTCAATCCATAGATAACATATTATTAACATTTTAAAAGACGTTTTCATGACTTTTTTATTGATATCATTTTTTATCGATTAAGATAAAAAATAAAAGTCAAGTTTTATCCCTGTTTTCTACTTGACGTTTCATCATGTATTAAAATGTTCGGTTTGTTTTGTAACCTTTTTTCCGTATCCCACAGAAAGAATATGTTTCTAAATGCTTTAAAATTAAATTGTTCCTTACCCGAGTGGGAAAAAAGTGACTAAGTTACTATTGACTGATCGTGAAAATCGTACACGATCGCCAGTAACATTTTACAGAGGGGGGGGGGGGGGGTTGATTTTTCAAAAACAAAAAATTCTCTAGCAAATCAGACAAATTTTCGTTTTTTTTTTGGAAGTCACTTTTTGAGGCGAAAGAATTTTCTCCGCGAGAAACCCTAGCAAATTGGAAAAAAATCTCTCGGAAGCAAAAACCCTACCAAATTGAAAGAATTCACCTCAATTTTCTACATTGATGAGCTAAAAAAAAAAAAAAGGTCTTCACTTTTTTCGTGAAAAACCCTAGCAAATTCGAATAATTTTCACGAAAAAAAATTTCTCATCCAAATCACAGGGGGATCCCCCCTTCGCACATTACTGACGATCGCAATCGTCGCCTAGGAAAACGCACCTTAAGTGACTATAGTTAGCTATATTCATGAATTTTAAATTTTTTTATGGAAAACAATCGACTATAGTTACTCAGTCAGTCAGGCGATTATTTTGGGACGTTTTGACTATCGGGTGACTATGATTATTGTCAACTATAGTTAACTGTTGCAGTTAACCATAGCTTACTTCAATTGATTGAGTCAACAGTCAGTTTGTCCCAAAATATTCAGTCACTTTTTGTACACGGGTATTGATTGCAGAAATTGTATCTTTTTTCATGAAATAATACTTAATTTCGAAACCACAGATGGCTAGCGAACCCATGAATTTTGGTGGTCTTGTATCAGTATTTTTTTAAAGAATGATTGCAGATCCTAAATATTCTTATCCGTTCATATAACCAGTTTGTTCAGCATCAAATATTTATTCTACCTTATTAACTATAAAATTGTAATATTTTCACTTGGACTTAGTAAAAATGTAGACAAAATACCATTTTGATTTTAAATCATAACACTTTAATGACGATAACATTCAATGATAATAAACAACAATAATTAGACAATACATTTTAAATATTTATATACAATATATCAATTTGTAACTTATTATAAGTTGTTGTTTTTCTTCAATACATTTGCAATTGATTGTTATCTTGATAAGTTTTTTTTATAACAATAGCAATAATTTCCTGTAGTTCGATTTGACGCATCAAATTTTTACAAAAAATGTGCGATATTTCATGTTTCATAGAAAAATGTAAATAGTTTTATGGCCCTTTTAAATATTCTATAATGTCGTTTAGACTCGTTGCAGTGCCAATAAAGAAACCGGCCAAACCAAAAAGGCCGATAAGAAGATTTTTGATGATCATTAACGTTCTGGCCGTACCAGTTGTCTCTTTTAAAAATACACAGGTTTCTATAAGTGCAGGAAACATAAGACCAAGCGTTGATAAGCACAATGCACCAAACAAAGAAATGAATAACTCCAATTTTGGAATGCATGCTGCTAATAAAACTGCAAAAAGAAAAATGGATCATTTAATCAATTTGATTCTCTTTTTTTTTCAAGCGAAAAATTAATTAATCGAAATACACGTACACGTGACTAAAACGACTGCAGTTCGTACAACATACTCCCACACCAATACGTTTCTATCACTGCTGATTCTGCAAACAACGTATTTATTCCAAATCAGATCAATTGCCACGTAACAAGCAACACCATGAGTTATGAAAATTCCAAAGGTAAGCATTCCTTTTACTAAGTTGGCCAATCTGTTTGGGAAACGATTTTTCTTTTTCAATTCAATTCAAGGAAATGTGTAAAAATGAAAGCTTACATTCTGTCCATCTGGCTATTTGTACTTAAATTCAACGTAATTGAGTCTTCGATACCGGCCCCATATTTAAGATAACCGAAAACACCCATTCCAACGTACATAATAACGATGATGAAGAAAGCACGATTTAGTACGCCGGTAACACCGACAAATGATTTTGGTGTCTTCATTTCATTCTCTAATGGCATTATCTGAACAGAACAAAATTCATGGTTACAACAAATAAAATTTGAATGGTTCATGATGGTAACTTACAACACCAATTGCTTCCATTGAAAATAGAACAACGCCAAAGAATAATGGAAATTCGGTCACTGGACCAATCGGTGCACGATCTTCTAACGTTACCGGTTCACGGAATATAAAGTAACAAATTATAATGAACGATAGAACGGTGATTGCATTGGCCACGGTTGAAAATGGTGCCAGCAATTTTAAATTTCGAACCTAAATCAAAATACAAAAATTAAAGAACATGCCTTTTTGTTTCTAAATAAAAAATATTCGATTTGTCACACATACCCAATTGAGTAAGATGATTGGCAATAACATAATTAACATAAATACTTGGACTTTTTGGCCAGTGTGATAGAAATCATCAACAATTGATTTTAAATTATCACCAATAAAAACGATATACACACAACAAATGCCCAATTGATATACCAAAAGGAAAAAGTTTGTTACATGCCTACCCCCCAAAAAAAAAAATCAATTGGATTAAAATGAAAGTTTGATTTGAATGATATGTAATGTTCTTACACCATATATGGAGC